TTGACTAATTTGAAATGAAATTAAAATTAATTTGTTGTTTTTAAATAATTAGATTTTAATTAAATTAGAATAAAAGAAAAAAATTAAAACAAAATTAGTTAAATCGAAAAAAATATTAAATATGTTAATAGACTTTCATATAAAAAAAAGTACAGAATGAATTTTTTTTAATATAAGTTTTTATAAAAATATAATATATTTTAATTTTTTATTTGATGTTAATTATATTAATTTTAAATAATAATTATTTTATTATATAATTATTTGTATTTCATTTTTTAATATATTTATATTTATAATTTTTATTATAATTTATAATAGCTATAATATTAATTTTTATTATTTATTTATTTTATAAAAAATGTTAATATTAATAAATTTATTATATATTTATTATATTATAAAAATATTTTTTTTTAAATCCAGTTATATCCATTAAACTGCAATTAAACTTTTATTGTGGTATTCCGAAGACAAAGAAATGATATAGCTGATCATAGGGCTGAATGTTAATTCTTTAATGAGCCCTGGGCCCAAAGCTCGACAATTCTAGTTATGAATAGGAAAATATATATACCAAGATGTCTTTATAAACTCCAGTGAGAAGGAAAATTTATTGATAGAGAGGTGATAAAGAGAAAAAAAAATTAATTACTAAAAGAAATATTACTTACCTTTTCTAAAAATATGATAATAGTGGGACTAATTTTTTTTTTTTTATAAACTTAGTTTTTTCTCTTAATATTAAGGTTTGACCATAGATGAGAGAAATGTAAAAGAAAATAAGAGAAAAGAGTCTGTAAACGATCATTACTAATACAAATAATACAAATAGATGAATATATGTAATTATATAATAAAAAATAAATAATAATATTAACACACCAAAACATAATAAATTATAACTAATTTCATTAGTTTCCTTAGGTCCTCTCAAACAAATGTTATCTCTTTTAAGGTAATTATGAGTTTGCTTTGAAAAGCTTCAAACTGAGAGCTAGAGATTGAGTTTATACGAATATCAATAACCTCAATTTTTGTAGGTAAATATATGAATGATTTGGAGTGTCTTCAATGACCTTGTCCTTGATAAAATAAAGGTAAAGTTTGAATGCATCACTGGATTAGCAGTTAACAATCACAATAAGATGACGTGCATTGACATATAATCACCATAAATTTAGATATTATTGGGTTAATTGTGGCCAAAACTGTAATAAAAGAGGAAGAAATAATGTGGTAAAGGGCTGGATTCACATAACATAGGTAGCTAGTAAACCTATTATAGCTGTCTTTCTCAAATTTTAAGGCAATGCTTCAGCTTTGCATGTGAATATACTATCATCACCAACAAAAAAGAAGCTCCTAACATCCAACCAAAAAGACAAACTCATACAAAAACACAACCCCATCCTCGATAAATGCAACAAATAAATAATTCAAATTTTATTGTATTGCAAATGTATTTATGTATCTAATAACCTTAAGCTGTGTGTTTTGGGTGAACTTGTATGGCACATAAAATTGGCTCTGCATCACACATTCTTGGTGCAGATCATGATGGAGAGACAGAGAGCATATTTGAAACATGTTATCAATGTCGAAAAGGAAAAGGTTTAAACGTATATCAACACTCAAGTTTTTTTCAAAACGCATTTAATGTTATACTCATTTTTCTGTCAATCAGTTTAGGAATTTCTTATAGCAATAAAGGAATTTAAATGCATGCTAAGAAAAATGTAGCTTAGTTAGTTGATCTTTAACTCAAAAAAAGGAGTGCGCAGAATTCAAGTTTAAAAAGATGGATGTTGCTTTAGCAGCATGCTTCCAATAAAGCTCTTCTCAATTGAAGCACGTTTATGCAATAATTGCTCGATTAATATGTGCAACTTTTATAGGTGTTAATTCTCTTCTCTTCTTTCTTCTTTATCACTTTTTTACACTGACATTACTTTAAAACATACACAAATCATTAATTGTTTTTTTTCTTCAATGTACGCATGTAAGTGGTTTATGTTAGAGTAAGTTTAGTTTAATTTTTAACTTAACTTAATTAAGTTGGATTGGATTATTAATTTTTATTTAATAACCGTACCAAATCCTTTTTCAATTATAAATATATTTATTAAAAAAAAACTTCAAAATAAATATTTTTTTAATACTATGTGATAGTAATAATATTTATAATATACAGAGTTATTAAAACAAATAAATTTGGTCGATGGAAAACAGTCCATTTGTAAATGATTTATATTGTTCCGAATCATAAAAAATTAACTTCAAAATTTTTGTCTGAATCAGTCTATCATAAATTGATAGATTAAATTAATTGGTCGTTTATTTATATTAAAATATCTGCTTAAATAAATTTTATATTGTCCACCAAATAATATAAATAAGATAAACACTTACTCTAACCTTGCACATTTGTATTGTATTTTAGTATATCAGACACACCCGTAGTGTTATCCTTAATTAATATAAAAGGGCAGCGACATAAATTTAGGGAAGAAATAGGACAGAAAATGACTTATCAAGCTACATATTAGTCTCTCAAAGAAAGGTGACAAAGTTGTGCTGTCTTTGGCTACACATGCTAAACCTTTTATCATTTCTTCATCTCCCCATCCCCTAGTTTAGTGTGGTCCTGCTTCGGAAATCCCCAAGACTCCTTCTCTTTTCGTTCTTCTTCTTCTTCTCCTCCTTTTCTCAATGCACTTTCCTTCGTCTTCTTTTCTCAATGCACTTTCATGGTGACTTGGACTTAAAACCATGGTTACATTTAATGTGGGTTATTTTGAGTATGGACCATCAGTAATTATTGTAATACCTTGTATACAAAATTACAAGTTGCATGTTTACAATTTACTACTTGCCAACTAAACGGGACTGGGGTCCAATCTCTGTTCTACTTACTCTCTTCATTTCTTCTTTTAACTTTTCAAAATATTTCGTACTTATTCCCCTCCTTCGGAGATCATGATTAATGGGTGCTCATATAAAAATTTGTCATATAAAAATTAAGAATCTTATGAAATTAAAAAAAATAGAAGACAATTAGATTTTAATTCATATAAGATGTATATAAGTTAAAAATTAATTATATAATTTTTTAGTTAAAAACATTGAATATAGTTAAAATTAACTATATAATTTTTAGTAAATTTTACTAATAAAAACCCAATTATTTGCCTAATAATGAGATATTCTATAGTAAAATATTGAATAAATTGTAAATTGCCTATTAATGTTATAAGTAAAACAAACCCCTATACTCCATTTCTGTATAAAGGAATCTTATAGTTTCTAGCATATTATCATGGAGTTACTCTTGTTCAAAGCTTGTTAATGGATTAGTCTACTTGCTGATGAACTATCCAAGGTTGACTCATGTAGCCAACAGTTTCTATATGTTCCAATCATAGCAAAACTGTTGTCAAGCACTAACAAATATAGTAAAAAAAAATGTCAATCTTTAGGTAATAAAAATTCATTATTAAAATTATTTTTCAGTTGTAACTTTTGTCAATATCAATATTTTTTAAATTAAAATTATCAACTAATTTTTTTCTGGCATTTTTTAAAAAAATTTATCTCTAAAATTATTTTTAAAAAACAAAGAAAGAATAAAGCTTAAATATTTGTTGTGATGATAAATAATATTATGGCAACTATAAATTCCGCAGAAATATTAATACACAGGAAGCCAATCTAGATAAAGTTTGTAGCTAGCTAGCATTTAAAACTGTGTCCACTGGTAGTTTTCTTTAGCAAGTGCAATGTAGTTACTCTCAAGTTTTTAATGAGTGGATCCAAAGGGAAAAAGGTTAATTTTACCTAGCTATTTAAGTTGAAAACAAACTTGGAGTTGATATAGGTGGCTACAAATTTTGAGGAGAAAAATAGACTGAACGAGTTGAGAAGGTACAAGTATGGTCCAACTGTGGAGCTAACTGTTATATGTAGCAATGTGATTAAGTGCTCTCTTGAAATATGAAAAGCTAGCTACTGAGCTCTCTCTTGTCCTTTTAGCTTCAATGTGCTGTAAAAATACACCAGCAAAAAACACTAGACAACGAGGCAATAACGGATAAAAACCTTATTTGTCTTGCATGCTTTTACATGCACCTCTTCCTTTTGCATGGACAATGGTCCCCTACTTCGCAAACTCAACGCTCCTTCAAGGCTTCAACTAATCCCTCAACTCTAACCCTTTATTGCCTTCAACTACCAATTACACTTTTAATAGCCTATCAAAGTTGTCACTACTAACTAACACTCACATAATTTCCATCACAGTTATTACTCGGCTAATAATAGTATTCAATAAGACAATCACATAGGGTGTGCAATTTGCATAGCATAGCTGCATAAAAAGGAAACACTGTTTTTTAACTTTTTTTTGCTTCCGTTTTATAGGCTTCTCAGTTGCTTCTGCTCTGATCTTATTAATGCCATTGTTATTATGACTTTGAGCTTCGAGAACCGTGATAAGATATTATGTTCTCACTTAAAAATTATTTATATATATACTTCCTTAGTTTTTCTATAAACACAACAAGAAGGAAGAGGTCAGGTTTCTTGCTCAGCTTTTGTGTTTCCTCCATTCCCACTATCCTACTAAGTTTGAGCATAAATTCAGGATCTTGTTCTTTCTTTCTTGATACTACAACTCGGGTTCTTCCAAAATAACAGTAGTTTTCTGTAAGGGCCCATGTTGGGGTAGTTGTCCAAATACCCACTTCATTGTTGAGGGTTCCAGCCACCTGTTTCAACTTTCACCCTTCTTTGCATCTGTTATGATAGTTGAAGATCGTCTTCCTCTTTTTCTTTCTCACTTCTTTTCTAAAATGATAAATGCACATGTAACACATCAACCATAAGATGCTCTTGAATTCAAGCCAAGTACCTCCTACTTGTGGTTCTTTTTATTATCAATTTTGCTTTATCCATAGTGAATTTCTTTTGTGCCTGATAATCCTATTTTGACTCATAACATCATGAAGAGCACCAAGGCTGTTAGCCATGCCGTATTTGTCATGTTCATCCTCTCTCTGAGTGCAAAATGCTGGGGACAAGAAGACCTTGATATAGCTCCTATGGAGAAAGCAGAGCAAGAAGCTCTATACTCCACCATTCAAGGCTTTGTTGGTGATTCCTGGAATGGCTCAGATCTCTATCCAGACCCTTGTGGTTGGACTCCAATTCAGGTACCTTCAACCAGACACCAAACTGTGCCATCATTGGTCTGCAAGTTTTCTAAGCAACTAATTTATACTGTGCTCGAGATAAGTTTTGGACAGTAAAAAATTGTTTTTGTAAGGCCATTGTTTCTTGATGAGTGTCAGAAGGAATAGTATAGCTACAAGGATATAGTTCCTATTTAGTTAATGACTTGCACGGACTTTTTCATAATCAACAGTGAAACTGTGAACACAAAACACCCTTATTTTTACTCCTGAAGATTTTGGCCAATTGTTAATGAGTCCATATGAATAAGAGTTTTGCACTCAATTTCATTAATGAACGCCGAGGTCAGACTAAGCTTTTTAATTTCTGGTGGATGCCAAAGGCAAAGTATAATCCATTGGTTTAGTTCTACCGTTGATCTCTAATGTATCAATTCTTCTCAAAAGTTGTTCTCCTCCCCCCCTCTCTTTTTTTTTTTTTTTTTCTCATGAAAAAGTCCAATGGCCCATTCAGCCTTGTATTGTCATTTCGAACTGGAATTATAAATTAACCAGAACATGGTGATCAATTCGTTGTTAATTGTGATGTCTGTGTTGTTTTCTTCTGCAGGGGGTCTCTTGTGATCTGTTTAATGGGTTTTGGTATGTTACTGTCTTGAACATTGGACCCGTCCATGACAATTCCCTCAGTTGTGCTCAAGATTTGGAATTTAGGCCGCAGCTATTTGAGCTCAAGCACCTAAAATCTCTATCGTTCTTCAGTTGCTTTCAATCACAAAACAGGTTTCCAACTACCATTCCCGCTGGAAACTGGGAGAAACTGGCTGGAAGCTTAGGATCACTGGAGTTTAGATCAAATCCAGGTCTCATTGGAAACATTCCCTCGGGTTTTGGTGTCCTCGAGAACCTCCAATCACTAGTACTATTAGAAAATGGTGTAACAGGTGAAATACCATCAAGCATTGGCAATCTCATCAAGTTGAAGAAGCTTGTTCTTGCTGGAAACTATCTTAGCGGGAGGATCCCAGATGTTTTTGATGGGTTGAATGAGTTATTAATCTTTGATTTAAGTAGTAATTCATTATCTGGGTCTTTGCCTTTGACTCTTGGAAGCTTAACTTCAGCATTGAAGCTTGATGTGAGCCACAATCACCTTGAAGGGAATCTTCTAAATGAGTTTGCTAATCTTAAGAATATGACCCTTTTGGACCTTAGGAATAACAATTTCACTGGTGGATTGACCTTGTCTTTGCAAGAGATGCACTCCTTAGAGGAATTGGTTGTGTCCAACAATCCAATAGGTGGAGATATCAGGGCCCTAAAGTGGGAAAACCTCAAGAACTTGGCAATTTTGGAACTCTCTAACATGGGGTTGACAGGAGAAATTCCTCAGTCTGTATCAGAATTGAAGAGGCTGAGATTTTTGGGACTTAGTGACAACAACCTCACAGGCAACCTGTCACCAAAACTGGAAACTCTTCCTTGTCTCAATGCACTTTACCTAAGTGGAAACAATATCACGGGAGAGATTAACTTCTCTAAAGAGTTTTTGAAAAAAATGGGAAGGCGTTTTGGGGCCTGGAACAACCCTAACCTTTGCTACCAAGTTGGAGTAATATCAACAAACCATGTTCCATATGGGGTAAAGCCATGCCAGAAAGAGGTCAATTTGTTAGAATCTAATTCAAAAACTGAGTTGATCAATGGGGATATGAATGAGACCTTCCATTTCATAGCCTCTATGGGATTTTCTAGCTGTGCTACTAATGGCTTCTGGTGGACTTTGATGGAAGAAATATTGATGATGGGTTTACTTCTAATTCCTATATAGCTCTCTAGTCTAGAAGAGTTCAAAATGGGCTTTATTTAACCTTTTAGGTGTTACAACAACTTGTATGTTTTTTGTATTTTGTTCTAACATAATCTGATAGTCTTGTCAACATGTTATTTGGCCAACAAGTTAGCTACTGAAACATGTATACCTCAGCTTACTTATTTTATGCACTTCCTATTTTCCTTTTGTCCTTGCAGCAGGACGGGCTGCAAAGGTTCTCTTAGTTTAACGTTTTGAGGTTACAAGAATTTTCTTTCTCAATTCATCGGTTCCAAATACTGGCTTTACCATTTCCACAACTTTTCACAGAGAATTCTGTACAATTGTAGCAGTGCAAATTTTTATACACAATATGGACTAGACTAAGTTGAATAAGTACTAGGCAATAATGTGAAATCACTTTGACTGTAGACTGTAGAGTGTTTTGTTGCCTAGTCCTTGATTTTATCCTGATTTGAATCAAGATGTGCACGCTAAACAATTTGGCTGCATAACAAATTCGTAGTGATCCAAAAATGGGGTAGCTTTCAACTGAGGATTGGCGCCATCTCTATCTCTGGTACCACAAATGGGCATGTTTAGCTTTCAACTTCACCTAGACAACAGGAATAGTTTCCAATGTTACCCATTTTCCTTCCTCCTGAGTTGTAAGGCCTTTCTTTGGATACTAGTTCAAATTTTCACTTCAAATTTCAGCAACATTTCCTGCATTAAAATAACATTTTATTAATAAAATACTTCAATATAGTGTAAATTACAATAAAAAATTATTACCCTTTTTATATCAGTTAAAAACTTATACATGTTTTTTTTCACATATTATTGTTTGGTTGAGAAAAAAATAAATATAAAACAGTATTATTGTTTTCTTTAACTTTATTTCTTAAATTTATTTAATTTTCAGTTTTAAAAAGGTCACCATATTTGATCCTACATCTTCCAGCCTTTAAAAAAAAAAGTCACAAATGTAATGTGATTTTGCCCATCTTCCTCAATCTCATTATATCATGTCCAAATTAACAAAATTGATGATTAATTAAATTGGAAATTAAATAAAATTACCTATAATTAAAAATTAAATAATAAAAATTATGTAAAATAAATTAGAAACCAAAATTACATATAATTAAGAATTAAAAAATAAATTAGAAAATCAAAATGTTAATTAAGTCTTCGGTGAAATTAATCCCAAGTCAAATTAAAAATATTCCTTTTTATGGATTTAATAAAAAAAAACTCCACTTTTTTCTCTTAAAAATAGACATTAAAATGCAGATTGGTTAAATGACTTCAATTCAATCTAAAAATGCTTCTTAATCTCCCTCCTCTTTCTGTTGAGTAGATTGAATATTTGAAGGAGGAACCAAGTCTTAATTAAGTCTAGTATGACTCCCCACACTCCAATCGCACACTGCTACGTTGTACTTTCTTTCAGAAAAATAAATTCAAAAAAAGAATGATCAACTTTTATGAATGGAGCAGCATGCAGACTCACTTTTGCAGCATAATAAATCTAATGCCACCTATTCATCCTCAAACCAAATCCTTGTCTTGTGTTGAGTAATGTTAGGTGAATAGGCATCAAAGGGCATGTGCAGGGTGCACATAGGTTACCTCGTCTTCTAAGTCACACTCTGTAACCAACACCCTCTGTTTTTCTCTCTTCATTACACTAAACACAACCCCACCCATCACATCACAACTTACATTTATAACCACCTTCTGCAACTATTCCATGCCAAGGAAAACAACACAAATAGTTGAAAAACCATGTTCAGTTCCAATCGCTTTGAAATTCATTTTCTTCTGTTTCCGCTTCTTTATATTTTCTACAACAAACAATCGTTTGAGTTAAATAGGTGGTAAAAATAAATTACATCTTCCGTTTATTTTAATGCATTCGTTTCTTTAAACTTTAATTTTATAACTATTATTTGAGTTTCTACGTTTCATTCGTATGTATTGGTACTTAAATATCTTATTTTAATCAATATTCACTGCTAACAATGAGTAAAATTTAGGTTAATTCTTTTTCTTTTGATCTTTAATTTTTTATTAACTATCTTAACTACTCTTTAACCTATATCAAGCGTATTTAGATACATGTTTATGTATCTAAATAAATATACTTTCTTATAAATAAAAACGAGTTAACATCCTTTCTGTAATTATTTGAAATTATATATAAAAAAAATGTTTTCTGTTTTTTTAGAAATAAAAAAAAACATAGTGAAATTAATCTCCAGTTAATTAATCAATATCTATAACAGGAAAAACAATAATATTTAATATTTTGTTATTTTTTATATTATGAAACTGAAATAGTTAGAAATTCGATTTCACTGCACTCCAATTCGGTAGATACATATATGAATGGGCTACTATTGGGCCGTCAATCTATTTTCAATGGTTTCGGGTCGCTATTGAACATTTAGTTAAGATGTGTCTGTTGTTAGTGTACAAAGATAGAAAATAATTATATTGACTTTTTAGTTTATTCAATTAAAAATAATAATATATTTTTAGTAAATACAAGTATAGTTCTAAGCAAATATATTTTTTAATTTTAGATCTATAATATTTATAACTTATATATATATATATAATTTTATTATTACTATTAAATGGTTTAAAAAAAGTAAAATTATAAAAAGAAGGTGAAGTAATGACTTTTTTTTTAATAAAAAAATTAAACTAATTTTTGTTTAATACATTTTAAAAATAATAAAAATTAAACTTAATAAAATGTTTCTTACTTCTAATTTTTTGCATTATCATAAAATTGTTAAAAGGTGTATTTCATTTTTATCAAATATTTTAAAAATATATTTTAAAAAATTCAAAATTAAATGCTATTTTTTAAAAAACCTAAAATTAAGACTAAATCATGCTCAAACTTTTATTTTTAACCCAATTAATAGTAACTCAGCAATATGTTAGTATTACAGAAAATGAAACTTTATTTATATATAAATATTTGAAAAATTATGTAGATAAAAAATGATTTAAAAATTGAAAAGAAAAATAAGTTTACCCTAAAACTGAGACTGACATTTAAGGTTATCCGAAAACTGAACCGAACATTTAAGATTATCCAACAGTCTTACTCTTGTTTATGACGTGAGCATGACATACAGGTACACCCCACCCACTCTTGAAAATACCCATCGCCTTCTTTACCATCACATTCATCATCATAATCTTTTAAATTTTAGTAAATGTACACACTGTATAATTTCAATTATTCAAAATATGCATTTCATTATAAATTTAAATATGAATTATAAAGTATGAAAATTCACTTAATTTTAAACCAAATATATCCAGAAATCGTGTGTTTGATAACTCTTTTTAAATATAAATTTTCAATAATTCAATTGTCAAATATTTTAGTATTATCTCAATCATAAACCTACTAAATTTTAATTGAATTAGTATTTATAATTGGATAATTTAGAGTAGATATTCATTAATATTTTTAAAAAAATTATATTGCATAGTACTATGTGTTTGATTTTCATGTTTTTCTTTGATTTTTTTTTTTAAAACTTCTCTACTCCTACTCCGTCTTTTGTTTCGATTTTTATTTAACACTTATTGTTGAAGCATATAATTTTTAAAATTATAAACATATAATTAGGTAGCGTTTTCTATTATCTTGAAGCAAATAATTTCAATTACACATATACAGAACTAAAAGAAGAAATTATCTTAAATTAATAGTTAAAATCTTATATTATATTTTTCTTGTTAATTTTTTCAAGTTATTAATTAAAATGATTCATTCTTTTAATTTTTTGAATTAAAAACAATGAGTTTTTTGTATATTAATTAGCATAATGAAAGAAGTACACAACTATTATGTTTTACATTTTTTGTCTCATCATCTTATTTTAAGTTAAAATTTATTATTTATGTTAATTTTAATTATATATTTTAAAATAAAAATACATACATATATAATTTTTATTTTAAATTACTTTATTTATTATATGAAAATAATAAGTCAAAATATACTATTTATTCAAGTTAAAGTTTCTTTAATCCACTCTTCTTACTACTACTACTATTATTATTATTATTATTATTATTATTATTATTATTATTATTATTATTATTATTATTCAACGTGGATGTTTGATTTGTTTACGTTGGTAGTTACTTTTTTATTAAATTTTGTGTTAATGGAGGTATCATTAAGTTTAGTAGTTTTGTTTTTTTCTCATAAAGAAAAAAATAATCTTTCATCACTATTGCACACGTATGGCATATATTAAGAAATGTTCTATTGTTTATTACGAAAATTGATATTTTGTTAGTATTGTACACACGTAGACAGAGGGTGACTATCAGCACAAAAGTGTTTTGATATAAAAATATAATTAAAAATAATTTTCACATAACGGAGAATTATTATAGATTATTATAAATAAATATATAATATTATAATTGAATATTGTAATTCTGTTATATATGTTAAATTTTGAATTATATAATTTTGTAAAAAGAAAGTTATGACGTTGAGACATGAAAAACACCGTTTGTAAGCCGTGAAGTCTCAAGTCACATATACATAGAATATTCCACGATCCCGCTTCGCTCGTTGTCGGTCACACTCTAAATATTTTCGCCTTTTCTTTCTTTCTTTCTTTAATCCTTTAATCTATCGTTTTATTCACAACTTCACCTCATCTCATCGATAATGCATACTTCACAATTCAAACTCAACCATTCATATAAACAATCCCAGCTTCACATATTTATTTAGTGAGATTCACATGCATCATTTTTATAGTTTATTAATAAGTAAACGGCCACGTCGAACACTATAATTTTTCTCTCTATAAATTGCAGAACATCCCATTAAACTACTGCCACACGTACTTTGAAAGACGTTGACACTTTCGTCTATTTTCCTTATTTTTCATGTTTCAATGTAATACGTTTACTTAAGTTTCAAAACGATCACATTGTTCTCTGTAACATGTATTGATAATGATAATTCAATTGACAAGAGTTTAAAGTATTGTTATGACATGTTGAGGTTGCTTGGTATTAAGAACCATCGCTTGAATTAGTAGCTGACTATCAGAAAAGTAAAAAAAAAAAGTTAATTAAGTTTAGTATGAGTTGGATAAGTTGAACGTAGAATAAGGATGAGTGGACCCCAAAAAATGGTTGTTTTCTCACAAAATCATTGCAGGCAAAAGACAGCCACCAAAATAAATGGTTTTGTTTTTTCCATGGAAGAAACAAACCCCAGAAATATTTTCATTTTCCAAATAAACATCCCAATTAATGATGTCATAAGCACTAAAAAAAATAGCATCTCATGGACAGCTAGCACTTGTGAGAATAATGAAATGGCTTCTCTTAAAAAATGCCAATAATTAATGCTATTCAGTTTTCATTTAAGAGAAGCCTCTCTTCTTTGTTGCCAAAAATGGAATGCTTGGCAACATAATGTTCAAGTCCACGCGCTTCAACAGTTCTGGTCTCTCTATGAATTAATCTATTTACTCATCCAAATTGTGCCATGCACTAACTTCCTCCCAAATATATATTCAGAAAATAAGACTATTTTAATAAATAGTTATAGTAAATGCATTATATTTACTTCACTATTTAATTTAATTACAATAATTTATGCATAATTTGTGAGGGAAGTAATAAATCATAGAATCTATTTAAATGCATAATAAATTCACATTAATTTTATGCAATGTTTGCCATACGTATTTAAACCCAAAACTTCCTGCGCGTGAAACATGATCTAAGATTCCTTGTGGAAATTAGAAAGATGGAAGAAGACAAAGATCCAGGATTTTCTGTCCGCATTTACATGCCAAATTAGAGTTGTAATGCTAATTCTGATTTTCTGCACAATTAATTTGCCCAAACCTGATAAAATGGAGAGAAAATTTGACGGTGACAATTAATCTTTTAGAACTGTTGGGGCTTCAAACATGTGCTCATGTTTTCAAATTTTCACAATCACACGCTTTAGTATGTTTTGTTGGGAAATAGATCGTTGTTATTGACCAAGAAATAAGACATTTTCATACACTTGAAAGTAATAAACTCGGTTCCCCAAGTCCAAGCACAGCCGGCGCCAAATACTTGTACCAAAATATTCAATATTTTTTAACAAACGTTGACCTCAAAATTCAGTTGTCTCTTCTCTATTGCGTGTATAATACTTTTCTTGTTCATATTTCCTACCCTTCATCACAAACCCACATTTTTCATTGCTCCCCATGCAAACCACCACATATAAAACCACTACTTTCTCCACAGTCAAAAATTCTCCACAATAAATTCAACGTATTCCTTAAACCTCTCCCTGCATAACTAGCTAAAATCCTGCCGAAGCAAAACACCCTTATTACAATCCTTCCATTTCCATGGCCTATTATCATCACTCTAAAATCTTTCATCTTCCATGCAAAGCCTTTTTCCTGGCTATTCTCCTTGTTTACTTGCTTCTTGTTGGTTCTTGCACTGCAATAAGGACAGGCGCAACTATGAGGTTGAATGACAGCTCAGAACTTCTCCGGCCAAAGCATCAACCGCGTTTTCCATACAAAGGCCTTGTTTTCAATTTCTTCCCCAAAGGGGTTCCAATACCACCTTCAGGACCTTCAAAGAGGCATAACTCACTGCTGGATTCCTCCCCTCAGAATTGAGTTCAATAAAGATGTCCTTTTTCACGAGTTTCTCCATTTTTTTGTTTTCTTCTATAAATTTTGGGCGTTTGAATTGATAGGATAGATGCAAGCTTTGCAATCTGATATATATCAAGCACAATGATATATCAAATCCTTAGAAGGTCTGATTTTTATTTTTGGCTGTGATTCTACATTTTACTGTACATAAGAGATATGGCATATAGTAATAATGTATTTTACTCATTGTTCAGTATGAGAGGACTTTGTTATCTTATTATTTATTCATTTTGTCCTCCTATTGATTTTAACTCTTAGTGATGATGATGATGATGATGAGTAATTCAAACCGAATGGTTTCTCTTGAATTGAACCTCTGTTATTGTTTATTCTCATGTCGCAAATCAGAATTCAGAAACATGAGCAGAGTTGAATTTCGTTCAAGTAGTACATAGTACTTGCCCCACCTACTGTTCTCTGTGTCGACGTGTACATTGACTTGAGGTGAATGATGATAAATAAAAAAGCCAGGTTTTGGATCTTTTCCCAGAACTGTAGGGCAAAAGGCAATAATAGAAGGCTCAAAGTCTTCCAAGTTGCCCTTGGGAAAACTCAGGCCTAAGGAGTGACTTGGCCCACTCACTTGCGAAACTTCCACTCAATGAAAATTTTGTTTCTTCCAAACTCTGTTCCTTGCTTTAAATGACCTAAGCCTTTATGCTGTGTTATTGAAGAAATTTGGCTCGTAGTACCCATTGGCTTGGCACCGATTGAATTAGTCCAATGGGACAAGCTATGGCTATGGCTGAGATCTTGATGTTGGGTCCATATTAGGTAAAGTCCACTTTCTTCAAGGGCTGCATCTTGTGTATTCTTTCATTATAGCCAACTATGGTTGGAATTGTGTACGAATTTCAATGACTCAAGTCCCTCAAGGCAAGGGAATTATTAGAATAAAGTTCATAATTTCGACGGCTGCACAAAAGCCAGAAATAAATTAATGCCTGCAACTGTTTTTCTCCTAAAAACCAATTAAGTTTCAATTTTGTCTGTTAATGTGATGTTTGTCACCTTGACCATATGCTATGGGGAATTTAGGACCCCTACCTGCATTCATTAAACTAGAATAAATTGAATTACGAAAATGATGTATGAATATCACTATACTAGTTAACAACTTGACAAAGAAAGAAAGAAATAAAGAATGAAAAAGAAATGTAAATATGATATACTACTATGACGTGAAAAGAAGGAAAAATTATTAGGTACTTGGAATTAGTATGGTCCAATTAAGTTTATATGATATGTAATTCAATATTATCGATTTTTTTAATAGATTAGCTGAAATCATGAACATGTAATAGTTCAGAAATAAAGAAATGGTAAGTGCTTGTAATGTGGAAACGTCTATATATAACTACTCATGGATTTGAAATAGTTTCTGAAATTCTGCATCTGAAACTGCTCAATACAGTTAGAATATCAAAGTTGTACCTTCTTCAGTAAATATGAAAAAAGATTTTAAGATTGTTTTACATGAAAAACATCCCCTAAACCCAGCCATAATGGGAACAAGGCAAGTGGAGGTTTATCAAACGATGAACTGATTAAGAAAAAAAAGAAAAACTGTTGGGGCTGCTTCTTCATTTACTTTCATCCTGTAGCCAAAGGAGTCCTTAAGGTAAATGAAATTAAAAACTAAAAGTGCACATATTTGTTGTCATGATGGAACTATGGCCTGATTTAATAAGATGTAGCACAATCCAATGAGAAAGCAAATCTTTAGTTTGAAGATATGTTTGAAAAGTTTACGCTGACTTTAAGTGCATATGCAGCATGCACATAGCAAAACATGTATCAGCAGTCAATACTTGAGAGGTTACACGTTTTCAACCTCAACACCATTTGTACGGTCATCTTGGTGGTTTGGTGCATATACCAACATGCCACATACCTAGAATTCCGGAAATTGGTTCCCTTTCAGCAATTCTTGGGCGAATTTCAGGCCTAGATCATCTCCTTATGAAATACTAAAATTTGAAGTATGAACAAGCTGTTGAAAATGATGGTGTATTTAGAAATCAGTTCACTCGAACATAATTGGATTTCCTTCTATGTTTGTTCATTGGAATCTGAAACAAAAAATCTTAATCAGGTTCGAAAGCCTCAACCAAATGATGAACAAGTAAGGGTTTATTGGTATAAATGTGGTGTAGCTTAGTCAATTGCCAATAAATATTCTAGGAAATAGAACATGCAAAATACCTAATCAGAGTTTGATGTTTACTGATAGTATATTATATGGCAAGAGACGTGACCTCAATTTATTTCACTCCATCATGGCTTGCTTGGGGAATCCATGAAAATTGAATACTTTAATGTTCGAAAAAAGAATATATATATTTTAGGTGGATCTGAAATGACAGTAAATGTATTCAATTGAATGGATTGAACATTTTCGAAGGTAATTGTACTTTTTTAATGAAAATGATAATATTTTAACATTATCAATTACCCCTCTTAGTTGAGAGATACACGAAACTATAACTTTCAATCACACTCTATGTTGAAATTAATACTGAATTCAGTTAAAAGTATTTATTTTTCTTTCAGTTATAAACTGTGTCAAAATGAAGCTATTTAATTGAAACGAATGTAGATGAATAAATTTTTTAGTTTTTTAAATGTCTCTCATTAAAATGTTTAGTCGTCCCTTGTTTTATAAAAACAAAGTTTGAGTTTATTTTATTTAACTAAATTATAATTTAATTATTTTTGTTATGATTTTTTCATTTTTTTCTCTCTCTAAATTTATCAATTTAATATTTAATAAAAAATTTAATTCTAGATGGCAATTAAAATACAGATATGTGCTTCTAATGAAAATGTCTGGAACTCAAACATTCTAAACTATCACTTTTCATAATTCAGTAAAAAAAATCTGTTTAACCATTACCAAAAAAACTAAACTAATTTTAAAATTCTCAACTATACATAATTCTACAATTTCTATAAAAATATAGTAAAATCCTATCATCAATTTAAGTAAACAAATTGCTTATAAGTAATCCATTTCAAGTTTATCAAACTTAAATTTGAGTAATTTAAATAATAAAATTAATTTCAAACTTAAATTTATTCATTTAATTAAACAAACAAAATTTAATAAAAAAAATCACGAATCAAACTTAAAATCATTCATAAATATTATACTGATTCTTAATTACATCTCTTAACAATTGCTAGTCTTATAGTTTTAGGTTTTTCTCTTATTTTGATTGTAACTTTGTAAGTAAGAAAATCATCTAAAACTTTGCCCAATTTTCATCCATTTAAAATTTAATTGTTACTTTCCCATTGATCAGTGCCTCCATCAACATGAATTCAAAAACACCTAATTCCTGCCCTATATTTTTTTTTTCTTTAAAAGTTGAAGTGGTGTAACATAATTTTTTAACCATCTTCCTTACAGAATTAAAAGTAATATTAGCCAATTATTTGCAACGATTAGTTAATGGGCTACTAAAAGAGGCTTTGGATATGTTTGTATGGACTTGGACTCAAATATGGGCTAAGACCAGATTTAGCTTCTCATAATTTGGTAAGAGATTGTTCTTTCGTTAATCATGAAACTTGAAAGATTCCCAGACTTCATTGAAACTTACAATGATAAATGGCCTAATTCAGAACATCAAAATTATGTGAATTACTTTCATTTTCAGTATCCAAATTAACAGCGTATGCAATTCATTGAATAACTAGACATGAAAATTAGGTTTGAGTTAAGATTTGAGAATTTTCCTTACAAAACTTTTTAGGTGTATATAGATATTATATTACCCAACTTTGTCGTCACACTCGCTAAATATTGTATTTTATGACTAAAATTTGAAAGTTTTCCAAATGTTTCCAATATTAAGTTAAAGAATTCTATTTATAATTTAAAAAAATGGAATATCTTTCAATCTTTTTCAATTTAATTATATATTTCGTTTTAACCAATACTCCTTTTTATTTAATTTTCTTTACCATTATTATTAATATTATAAGAAGCTAGAAAAGAAAGATACTTCGTGTGCATAATAATAGAAAGAATAAAGACTGATTTTTTTTAAATAGACAATGATGTGCGGAAGTTGCGTATTTAAAAGGAAAAACAAATTAAAATAGTTGACAAAAAGTTACATAGTTGAAAAATAAACAAATAGATATAAAAATAAAAATAAAAAATGTCTAAACAAATGTGCAATCAAAACATAATATTTTCTATATTTATAAATTTATATTTGATTGTTTCATGGAATAAGGAATGGTCATACTCAACTAAACAAATTAGATTACAAATATATAAGTATGCATTAAAAAACACATGTATAAGTATACAATGAAGGATACGTCATGATAATGTTGCGTCCAAGTGTGCAACAGAGGAGAAGCAATCCATGAAGAGTTAGGTGAGTGATGAGTGAAATAATTGGCTTTGGTGGTTGAATGAAATTTTGAGGTGGAAGAGATGAATCAGAAAAAAGTTGGCACTTGGCATGTAAAAAGGCACGTCATCAACAGATACCTGTGAAAGTGTGAAACTTTTATAAAGCAAGATTTAGAGGCAGAAACGTAACTCTAATGTGAAACCATCTCTGTCATCTAACGTCACTTTCATTTTCAACTTTCAACTTCAACTCCTCCAAAAACCTAAAAGTAAAGTACATAAAAAATGAAAAATAAGATAAAAATAGATAAAAAAATATAAAATATAGGCTAGAGATAACAAGTTGGAAATGATACAAGGAGATAATAAATAAAAAAGGAGAAATAATGAATGAACTTTAGTTTTGTTTTTAATCTATTTAACTTAAAATTTGTCCCACCAGAGATTAATAAAAAAAAGATGAAGAAGCGAGGTGGTGATTGAATGGAGGGTTTAGTGGGAGAACATAAAATAAGAGCAATAAAGGATGACATGAGATGAGAGAGAGAGTTATATACAGATACATGCAATCCAAGTGTACAAGGTTACAATAGTTGGGGTGTGTTCCATTCCACTCACACTTCAATTACAACCGCTTGGTTCCCGCTGTGCCTGCTTGCCACATGTTCTTTGTTTCCTTCAACTTTTATACTGACCCCACTTTCTCTTCTCCACTCTCATTTAATAACACTCCTCACTCCTTCTCCTTCCTCCATTTCCTATCTTCCGTATTTCCTCCCAATGACTGATATCACTGACGATATTGCTGAGGAAATCTCCTTCCAGAGCTTCGATGACGACTGCAGGTTGCTCGGGAATCTCCTCAACGACATTCTCCAGCGCGAGGTTGGCACCAGCTTAGTTGAAAAACTCGAAAGGATTCGAGTCCTTGCTCAGGTCAAACCAACCTTTCACCCTTTTCACTTTTCAACCTTTCACTCTGATGGGATCTATTTGTTTTTCATCCTGAAGGGTATTACTATTAGCTGTTTAAATTTTGTGTTCAATTGTTATGTTCTGTCAGTTCTGCAGTCTCTGCCAGACACAAAGTAAAATTGAAGTTGATATCTTGCTTAAAAATTAACAAATTTAACATGCATGTTGGTTTGTGATAGAATAAGATATATACGATACCTTTTACTTTCGTTAATGTTATTGGGATATTATTTTATATGCATTGGTGTTTCGTGAACGATGATGCATGAGGTTCATGCGATAAGGGATGATCCAGCCGATTTGCGAGCTTTTGTTTGTTATGAATTGTGATGGTGCATGTGGTGTGAGTTCGTGTGATGAGAAGCTTGGACGTGAAAATTGGGTGGGACTGAGTTCAACTTCTCGTTTTTGGCAGAGTGGATGTAATATGAGGCAGGCGGGTATTCTGAACATGGCAGAGCTGCTTGAGAAGCAGTTGGCTTCAGAGTTGTCAAAGATGACACTAGAAGAAGCTTTCACCCTTGCTCGTGCATTCAGCCACTATCTTACTTTGATGGGCATAGCTGAGACCCATCATAGGTAATACAGCTTATTAGTTTTTTACTCTCATTACTTGATGATTAGTCTGTTCTTGCTTTTATTGATAATACCATATAACAGTAAAAAGCAGAAGAATAATTTTATTGCAATAAGAGTACTACTGGGCAGGGTAATTTTTTACAGAAATTGTGCTTTTGCAGGGTTCGTAAAGGAGGGAATATGGCACAAATTGCAAAGTCTTGCGATGATATATTTAATCAGCTGGTGCAGGGTGGAGTTCCCCCAGAAGAACTTTATGAGACAGTCTGCAAGCAGGTCTGTTTTGTTTATTACATGTCATTTGCATAGGTTGTTAAGCAGAGATGAAACTGAAATTAAGTGTCCTTCCGTCAGCCCTATAAAACTTTTTCAGCCTAAGTTATGTGATGCTTCCTTTAATTTCTTTTGGAAATTATTGAATGCACCATGCTTTCATTATTTTTCTTTCAATATAATTATTTTTTGTTATTGATTTGGAATGCTATATTTATGTTGATGGTCTCTCAATCAGTAATCTAGTTCCAGCTTCTCTTCCTTTTAAAAATTCAATTTGATTTCTGTTGCTACAGGAGGTTGAAATTGTTCTCACGGCTCATCCCACACAGATTAACCGTCGAACCTTGCAATTCAAACACGTTAGAATTGCTGTGAGTTTTTCGACATTGTTTAGCCAAATAAAAATGTCCAAAAGCTTGAAGTTTTTCAACTTAGACTGTCATGTAAGAATCGGTCTCTAACTTCTTTCTCCCTCCTGCGTGTAGCATCTTTTGGATTATAATGATCGACCTGATCTTAGCACTGAAGAACGAGAAATGGTGATAGAAGATCTGGTAATTTTTCTGAACTATATTTTCACTCTAGAAAGCTGCTTCACTGTGCTTTAAATGGGATATAATCTCCTTTAAGTGAAAAATGGGTTTCTGAACTATTCTCACTGATCACAATTGGTTTGGTAGGTGAGAGAGATAACTTCAATATGGCAGACAGATGAACTAAGGCGCCAAAAACCCACTCCAGTTGATGAAGCTAGAGCTGGTAAGCTGCTTCATTATTCTATATGTCAGCACTTGCATTCTTTTAAGAAGGTAAATTATACTTGGCACATAAGAACTGTTTGTTCTATAAATTCCTCCAGGTTTCAACATTGTGGACCAGTCACTATGGAAAGCTGTCCCTCATTACTTACGTCGAGTCAGCAATGCTTTGAAGAAGGTCTATCATCTTTAATTCATGGTCTTGGCTGTAAATTCTTTTTAAGACTTACAATACAATCTATCCTCCTTTACAGCATACAGGAAAGCCACTTCCTTTGACCTGCACTCCCATAAAGTTTGGATCTTGGATGGGAGGAGATAGAGATGGAAACCCAAATGTGACAGCAAAGGTGAACATTTTTAACATCCATTAAAGTTCCTCCTGCCCATACTTTACAAAGTGATTTCACTTTTTTAATTAAGTGGAAGAGTCTTTTCAATGGGTGAAAACTTTTCCAGTAATGCAATCTTATTTTTGTAATAAATTTTATTAATTTAAATTTTAAGCATTTCTTGTGGGCTTTTGTGAAGGAAAATTTTATGCTTGTTGAACATTTGTAACAAAATTTTATTATTTTAAAGTTTAAACATGTCATTGTACTTTTGTCAGAGACAATTGTAACGCTTGTTGAACATGGAGAAGTGTAAAGGGGAAAAAAATTAGCTGCTTATTATTATGTTAAATATTTTGTTATTTATAATTTTGCTGGGGTGGTGACAGGAATCTGTTGTCTGTAATTTACACAATATCATCAACTCACTAGAATGTTTGTCCAATCTTGGGTTGGATTTTGGTGCCAGAGAACATTTATCTTATCAATTTTGCTTTAACCCTGTAAATCTAGACAGATTTAATCGTTTCTCTTTAAGTTCTTTTCCTTTTGTTATTCAGGTCACAAAAGATGTTTCACTTCTATCTAGATGGATGGCAATTGATCTCTATATCCGGGAAGTGGATAGCCTCAGATTTGAGCTATCCATGAGCCAGTGCAGTGATAGGCTGTCAAGACTGGCACATGAAATTCTAGGTGATTTTTTTGTTCAATTTGATATTTGGGGGACATCCTCCAAATGCCGATGGCTATTCATCATTGTAGTATATTATAAGACCACAAAACACTGATTGTCAAAAGTAACACAGATTCCTTGTGTACATCACATTTCAATGCTTTAAAATCATTCAAATTCATCTTTTTATCTTTTTTTTTTTTTTTAACTCATGCCTTCTAAAATATTAACACAAATTTGGACTTAAGAATGGAGGGGTCACGTTTACATCTAATCCATCATTGAGTGTCATCTATTTAAAGTTGAGTCCAACACCACCTAGGCGTGTGGTGAATGGTGATGCTTGAGAGCTTTGTGTGTGATTTCCTGGGAGTGTTTTCTGAATCTCCTGCTTCTTAGCCTTAATAATATAAGATTAACATCAAATAAACATCTAGTTTGATATTATTGCAATCTGCATCTAAGAGTTGATGGTCGCTTCTTTCTATGCAGAAGCTAAACATGAGAATCCCCGTGACAATTGGAACCAATCTGTGAATAGAAGTCTCGCACTCCCAACACAACTTCCAGCTAGAGCTCATTTACCTTCTATTGCTGGTACACATAATGGAATTAATATTTTCTGTCTAGTTCTTTGAGCATATCATATGTTATATGTCCGTGATGTCCATATATTTGTTTCCTAGAACCACCCAGATATTTTCATTTCATTGCCTGAAAATTAAAATAACTGCAATCCTAATTACTTCTTCTTTGTCATAATGAGGAATGGTGCATACTCAATATTTTATTTCATATCCGGTTTGGCCATATTCTTTTGTGTAGAAAATGGTGAATCTCGGCATCCCAGACTAGACATTCCTGGAGCTGATTACACGCAATCTAATCACAAGGTAGTTTAACTCTGTGATGTCGATATGTCTGATTCAGCCATAGCATATTAGATAATATATATTTTCTAATTGGTAGGATGGTGGGTCTTCCTTGAGTTCAACTACATCGAAAAATGCCAATCCCAATATTCAACTATCAGGACCAAGTTCAGTGAATTCCAGTGCTTCTTCAGCTGCAATTTCA